GGGTTTTTGTAGGGTTTAGGGTTCTTCAAAACCCCCCTACTTCCCCGTCCTCTTCGGGCACCCTGGACCCGAACCACCCTTCCCCCTTCGACGGCGCCCGTGCTAGCCTTGCTAGCGCCGTTCGCCGCTTTCTACCGCGGACTTCCCCCTACACCCTCCGCTCACGCGGACCTCTTCTGGCCCCCTCCAGTCCGGTTCGTCATCTCCCCATGGCCGACGGTGCGTCACACGCCGCCAACACGGCGATGACCACGGCATCGGGCTCCACACCCGTGCCGGCGGACCAGGGCCATCAGCCCCACGGAGATCTACACACCCTCCTCACCTCCCTCCTTGCGCCCATCCAGACGCAACTCGCGACCTTTGCGCCCATCCAGGCGCAACTCGCGACCCTCGCGCCCTTACAGGCGCAGGTGGCGACCCTTACCGCTGGCATGCAGCAACTCCAGGACGCTGCGTGTCCGTCATCTCCTGGCTCCCAATCCGGGTCCCCCGTCCTCCAACAGGGTGGCCACGACGGAGCTTCCTCCTCCGTTGCCCCTGACCCAGCCATCTTGGTGACTATCCACGCCCCTAGCATGTCCGCCGCCACGAGTCAGGCCCCCCCTCAGTCTACGGGCGCACTTGCCCAGATCCCGGTCACCACGGCCACGGTACAACAACCCGCTACCATGGTCTCAGCTTTTCCGGGTGCCCCGCTCCTCCCCCCCCTTCGCACGACCGCAGCGCCACCTCGCTCTCCCCCCTCTGGGATGCCCTGCGCCGCTTGTGCGTCCACCCCCTCCACTCTTCCTCCTTTCACCCCTCGATCGACCTACGTTCGAGGTCTCGCGGACGAGATTGCCCAGCTCCGGGTCGACCTCACCCTCTTACGCCTTCAGCCACTCCCACCCTCACAGGTGGCCGCGCCTTCGGGCGCACCCCCTACCTCCTCTACCCTTCCTCCCATGCAGGCTCGCTTTCCGCGCCCTGCACCCTATACAACTCCTTCCTACCTTCTTCCTACTCCCGCGGTTGCTGCGACCTCTTCTACCGCAACACCCTCGCAGCCTGCCCCTGTTGCCACCGCCGCTCCCCCATAAGGCCCGGGCGCACAGTCAGCTGCGCCCCTTTTTCCAGGACCTGAGCCGACTTACTCAGCCATGGCACCGGCCTCCGCTCCTCGATCCCCTTGCCGCCAAAACGGTGGCGCACCACTCATCCGCTTATCGAACATTGCCTTGTATGACGGTACAGGCATGCGTGTGTCTCGGTGGCTGCAGTCTGCCACCCGCACACTCCAGCTCATGGGCGCCACACCCGAGATGGGGGTGGGTCACCTCTCCACGCGCCTGCGTGGCGGTCCTTTCGAGGCCTGGGAGGATTTCTATGCCTACTCCCTTCGTGAGGGTCGGACTCCGACCTTCGTGGATTTCCAGGCGTTCCTCGAGGATCGGTTCGGAGCCCGATATGACGTGACTGACGCCTTCGAGCGTGTCGTCACTACACGCTGGTCAGGCTCTGGTGGCGCTGCCAGCCTGGATCGCCACATCCAGGTCTTTCAGGACGCCCGCCTCGTTTGCGACGTGGTGTTCCTCCCCGAGGCTGCCCTTATTGATCGTTTCTTGGCCTGCCTTCCGCTCGAGTACCGCTCCGAGCTATGGCGGTACGAGTTCACATCGGCCCCACAGGCTTACGAGGCCGCCAGGGACCACCAGCGGATGCGAGCCCGTCTTCACCCCGCCTCCTCCTCCTAGCCTCAGCGCATGGGCTACGCCTCCTCCTCCTCTCACGACACTTCCCAGCGCCGTTCCCCTTTCCGCGGTCGCCCACGCCGTTCCACGCAGCAGGGCCGCCACTTCTCGTGCCGCTTCAGCGCGCTAGAGTATGGTGAGCAGTACGCTGTTGCCCCACTGTCACCTGAGGGCGACCACAACGACGACCTCGATCTTTTCGAGGCCGTCCACTATCACTTGGAGGACTTGATCCTCCCTGCAGCTGAGCGCCTTCAGCTCGCGCTCTCCGCCCTCTCTCGGGCACGCAGCCGCCCCGGTGACGCTGGCGCGTCGCCCCCCGAGGGCCCTCAGGAGGACCTCCCTGAGGGCTTCGTCCCTCCTCGTGGTGTCCTTTCCGCTGAGTAGCGCGCGGCTATTCTGGGCTGACGTGGGTGTTTGCGCTGCCGCTTGGACGGTCATACCTCCTCGCGGTGCCCTTACATTACCGCCCTCGACCGCCACTCGCTAATCTTTCTCGTCAGCGTCGTGCTCAGAAACCCCCCGTCGCCTCACGTCCCCGCGGCGCCTCCTAGCCACGGTGCAGTGTACACCTGCGCCCTCCTGAGTAGTGGGCTTCCCGACATCTCCGTCGCGGTTCGCCCCTCTCGCTACTGGAGTTGAGGTATCGCAGGACTCGACAGAGTGTACTCAGCCCTCTATCGCAGTACCGTCTGCGCCTCCGCAGAACACCGTCTCCCCTCCTTCCCTGCCTCGATTACCGACGCGTCGAGCCATTCGCTCAGCCGTTGCAGCGAGCAGCTTGCTACTCGCGAGGACGTTGTGTCCTCTCTTTTGGACTTGAGCATGCTCCAGGTTTTTCAGGAGCGACTCACCCTCAATGTCGCTGCACTTCGTCGCCTTCTCGCCATCCTCTCTGACCCTGATCGCACCCTCCCGATCATCCCAGTACGACTCGGGACCTCCACAAGGGTGCACTCAGCGCTGTGGGATTCCAGTTCTCAGGGCGACTTCATTCACCCACGCGTGGTGAAGGAAGCTCGCTTACCCACAACAGGGTCTTCGACTCCCATCTCCGTTACCCTAGGGGATGACAAGACCCAACGTTTCTTCGATCAGACGGTCACCGACCTCCCCTTCTTCCTCACTCTCGAGCCGACTGATCGTTCCCCGGCGTCTCGTCGTCACCGCTCCTCTGCACATTTCGATGTGATGGAGACGGGGTACGACTTCATTCTCGGCACTCCGTGGTCTCGTCGGTTCCGCAGCACCGAGGCCGATTCGGCGATCAACACTCTCGTTCTCAAAACGAAGTGTGGACAGACGTATCGCGTACCTTTCATAGGTACCACTGCGATACCATACCCCGATCCTCCTCCCCCAGAGCCGTCAGTGCCCACACCATCCCCCTCGATCATCGTCACCTCGCCTCGGCAGTTCGCTCACTTCATTCGAGAGGACGACGTCACCTTCTTTATGGTGGACGTGACGGATCTCTTACACTATGATCCACCCTGTCCTGACGCCGAGCTCATCCCTCTGGAGCCAGATCCTCCCTCTATCTCCATGGCTCCCATCTCTACTTCCGTCCCTCCGCCGTCCGTCGAGTCCACCCTGCCGTCGGGCGCTGACGCTGACGCTGAGGAACTCGCACGATATACGGCTGACCTGGAGCCTGCAGTCCGTGACCTCATCCGAGAGTACCACGACGTTTTCCCATCGTCGTTCTCGTACGCCGGCATCCCACCGATGCGTGACGTCGAGCACTCCATTCAGCTTGTGCCTGACTATCGTGTTCACCACCAGGCACCCTACAGACTCAAGCGTCAGCTTGAGGAGCTCCTGAGACTGGGTTTCATTAAACCCAGCAACTCCCCCTGGGATGCACCCATCCTCTTTGCTCGCAAAGCGGATAGAACTCTCCGTCTCTGCATCGACTATCGCGGTCTCAACCACTACATGGTTAAGAACAACTACCCCTTACCTCGTTCCGATGAGCTGTTCGACCGCCTAGCAGGCAACCGCTTCTTTACGAAGATTGATCTTCGTAGCGGTTACCATCAAATCCGCGTCGCTGCAGCCGACCAGCCGAAGACAGCGTTTCGATCGCGCTTCGGCCACTACGAGTTTACGGTGATGCCATTCGGCCTCACCAATGCACCCGCCACCTTCCAGAGGGCGATGAACGACATCTTCAGGGACATCCTGGAGCAGTACGTTCTCGTCTACCTCGACGATATCCTGGTCTACATTCGTACCCTTGAGGAGCACCTCACACACCTCCGCGACATCCTTGACCGCTTGCACATACATGGCTTCTACGCCAAGCTGAGCAAGTGCCGCTTTGCCGAGCACAAAGTGGATTTCTTGGGACACTACGTGTCTGACCAGGGTCTCCACATGGACGACGCGAAGATCACTGCTATTGCGGAGTGGCCCGCCCCCACATCCGCCAAGCAGCTTCGCAGCTTCCTAGGCCTGACCAGCTACTGTAGTAACTTCATCCGGGGATACGCTAGGTATTCCTACGTCCTTACCTCCACCCTCCTCCGGAAGAACCCACCCTGGACTTGGACACCCCTCCACAAGGACGTTTTCCGCGCCCTCAAGAAGGCGGTGACATGCGCACCGGTTCTTCACCTACCCGATTTTGACCGCCCTTTTATCCTTACCACCGATGCATCAGACTTCGCTGTAGGAGCAGTGCTTTCTCATATCTTCCCCTCCTCTCCTGATTCCTCTCATCCTCGTATCCCTCGCTTCCCACCACCTACCCCTACCACTGCTTCCCGACTGACGCCTACTCGTCCAGCTACTGACGACCCTTCTATTGACTATTCTCCTACCATCGCCGAGGACGGCACTGTCGAGTCTCGCTCAGGTGATTGTCCGATAGCCTTCTACTCCCGTCAACTCCTGCCCGCCGAGATAAACTACACCGCTGATGAACGTGAGGTTCTCGCTATAGTTTATGCCGCTTGGCACTTGCGTCATTACCTGCACGGGGCATTGTTCACGGTGCGTACGGACAACTCTGTTGTCCAGGCTTTTCTGACAAAATCGAAGCTCACTCCTTGACAGGCTCGCTGGTGGCGCGATCTATCCGAGTTTAGTTTCACCACTGATCACATCAAGGGTGAGACTAATCGGGTCGCATATGCCTTATCTCGGTGCCCTGACCACGACCAAGAGCACATCCAGCTCTCTTCCATCTCGGTCACCG